CATTCCCATTCCCCCTCTGCTACTCATGTTCAAGGACCTTCATGTGACCATGGGAACAAGGTTGGCTTTGTACCCCTTGTATTATCAATCCATCTCCATTCGCCCCCCTCTACTGCTCATCATCAAGGAACCTTGTGAAAATAAGGACAATAGTAGGTACAAAGTACTAACCTTTGTCATATCCTCCAATTCTTGTAGCACTGCATCTTCATCTTCCTGAGTCAAACTTCCACTTAAAAGTTCGTCAATCTCCTGTGGAAAGAAAATCACAAGTTGTAGTTAAAAACTGCTGCAATCAAAGCTTTTTAATTGGTGACACTTACCCTCTGATACTCAATTCCTTCCCGAGTTTCATCCATTATTCTTTCCACGTCTTCAATGGACATTATCTGTGACAAAAACTACAATTCACTTCATGTGATCAGAAAAAAATTGATATAACTTTGTACTTGCAAATTTTGATGTGTTTTTTTTACCCCTACCTCATGCATTTTCTTCAGAGCTTCATTTCCTTGCTTCAGTCCATCAGCCACTTGAATTTGAATTTGTGCAAACTCAACATCTTGTACCTGTTATAAGATGAATACTCTTTGTCTCTTACTTGAATCTCTTACTTAATGAACGGTCAAGCAGAAAGAGGGGGAAGGGTCTTTTTGTTACCCTTTGGACCAGAGAACAAAGGGGGCAAGATAGTACCACACCGTTGGAATTTCATGAATGTGCAACAAACCCAGGGAAGGGGTTACAGTTACAGCTCCTAGTAATAGGCTAGAGGGGACGTGCTGCTGGATAGGGTCACATTTTCATGACGGATTGCCTCTAACGGGGTTTCATTTTCAATATATAATATTATATAATAATAGTTTCTACAGATAATGGTGTTGCAAATTTTGGAGATTTTGGGGATAAGAAAATTTTGGTAAGCAGAACATTTAAATATGGGAAGATTTGCCATTTAAAAGTTTTCATTGTATAATTATCATAATAATAATATTGTATTACCTTGAGTGACTAAGACCGGTCTATAAGTGGCCATAGAATAGACTATAATGGGATAGGGGGTTCTGAGAGGCCAGCTACACTAACCCAGCAAAAACTGCCCACCTAGGGCTCCACAGTTCCTTACTATTTACCTTGGGGAAGCAATATACTGATCTGAGTCAACTTTAGTTGCAGGGTTTCTATTGTAAGGGGGTAGCCAATGGGAGATAACTGTTTGAACTTAAATCGCTTTTAGTAGTTTTGTTGTGAAGTGTTTTAAAATCAATTGCTTCATGAATGCTTTCAAAACATTGTCTACTTTTGCCTAATTTGACACCTACTTTAAATTAAAAAAGCTTTAACCATAAGTCAAAGTCCATCTTTGTCCCAAGTCATAAATTGAGATTCTAGCAGATCAAGTTACACATAAGCTCCCATGACTTTGATAAAGAATATAATCTTTGATAAGATAAGAATATAATCTTTGATAAAGAATATAATTTGTTAACAAACCATTTTCTCTAAGTTCTCCAGCTGGTTGTCTGTCCTTTCCAGTGTCTGCTCCTGGTATCTCTTTTTCTTTAACAGAAGCTTTGCTTTGCTGCACAGTAATAAAAAATAATAATAATGAAAAAACATTTAACTTTCCTCATTAACAATACTGTTTTTTCTTCTTTTTCCCTTGACCAGAATATGGCACCACATCTATGCATCTCCTTCAAAGTTTATGTTAGTATAAACTTTAGTTCTGTTGGTAGGAAACCTAACCTTGTATAAGCCCCATGGATTCATTAAGGTTGATTCACTATACACATTGTTGTATTTAAATAAACTCACAATGCTTCCTTGAAAATTTTTATAATTGTAGTATAACAAATCCTTCCCTTTAGCACCCTTGCCACCCTGGGTATACATAAAACAGAAAGAGCACATAGAACAGACTCCTTAATCAAAATGTCATTGGGTTTATCACATTCCTTGGAGGAATCAAATCTGAATCTTCCAGAGGATTGAACCACAAACCTTCAAGTTTTGTGTTGGATGCTCTACCAATGCAGAGAACCCTATAAGGGAAATATCCTGCACACTGCTAGGATCATGTCAAAAACATTAACATTTATCACATGATAGAAAATTTATGCAGAACACTTGTCATATGTGAATGTAATAATGGCCTTAAATTCATGATACAGTTATCTGTAGCTCTGTGGTCGAGCATCAAAGATTAAAGAGTTCTTTCTTTTTCCTTCCTTTTTAATTTTTTTTTTTTAATTTATCCACATCAAAAAGTTTGGAATTTGATTCTCTACCCCATGACTATAGGAAAAATATCTTTTACATTTGAAGACCAAGCTCAAAATGGGGAGCAAAGAGGTTGAAAATTTTGCAGTGAGACCCAATAGTATGAAGACTGAAATCTAAAGACCTCTATAGGTCCATTAGTTCAAAACATGGTTATCCAAACTTACTTTTTCTTTCCTTCCTGCAACAACTGTTTTGCCAGTTGTCTTTCTTTTTCAAGATTCAGTTGTATCTAGTATAAAGTAGAATTTGTTAGGAATAGAGCTGAATCGATAAAAACTCTCAGGCACAAACATTTTGGTTATATTTGAACACGCTTTATAAAGAAGTTGTCAGATTAATATAACTGAAGCTTGAAATTGGCAGGACATGGCTCATGCAATTATTAATTGTTGTAAACCTGAAACAAAGTTATTACAGCAGGTAATCAAAACAAAGTAAAACATAACAAAGAGCCAATGAAAACTTAAACAAATGTGCTACCAGCCTCAAGTGTCAGTGACCATGTCGTGGTCACAGTTGTAAAAAGGTCTGAATGGTTCCTCATTTGATTGGTTTAAAGGATAAACTTAAGCCAACCCTAAAACTCAAGGCAGATAAAAAACTTCAAGTGAAACAACACCAAAGAAATTTGGAGTAACATTTGACTCTTACTGTTAACTAAAAATTCCTCTGGTATAAAAAGGTTTTGATAAAATTTGAAGTAAACAGCATAAACTGCAATGTAGCAGCAGGCTAATAGAAATTAGGGTTTCATTCTAATGATATATATATCAAAGGAAGTGTGGATCTAGCTAAGAACAGTACTGTTTAATGACCAGTGCTCTATCAAAGACATTTTAACCCTTAAAAAATAATTTCTTCTCACCTTTTTTTGGTACTGTTTCAATTTGTCCCTCTGCTGCTTCAATGCCTAAATGACATGACAACAATAAAAGCATTAATAATAATGCTATTAATAATGATAAATAACAATTATATTAGAAACAGTTAATAACAATCAAGTAATGGGAAAGAACACTCCTCTGATGCCTCAACCTTTAATTCCCAGAGGTGATTGTGATGTAACTTCTCCAGTTTAATATCCAGTCATTATCCCGCAAACAGGTAATGAGAATACTCAAATTTATCTCTTAGAAGTTTTTGCCTTTATCTAACTCTATATTCTTGTGACTAATTTATAGGGAAATGTGTAGCAACAAGGGGGGAGAATTAACAACAAATCTTGGGAGTTAAAGGATTAATTGGGATCACGGTTTTGGTCTACACACTAGATTACAGAAGCACACAAATACAACAACAAAAATATAACTGATAATAGTGCTTATCACTGATATTTTTATTATTACACTATTGTTATATTAAAGCAAGATTTCTGTATAACACTAAACTTCTTTTTGCATACATTCACTTGATAACAGTAAACAATAGATTACCTTTAGGACTAATGCTTTATTTTCAAACANGTTCTATTACTATTTATAGCGTATTACAAGTTGTACTATTTTTGGAACTGCTGAGTCACATGAAAGAAGTTTCTGGAATATTACAGATTATAGATAATTCTAGAAAAGTCTGGGATTGCGTGACAGATTCAGTAAAAATAATTCGATCCTCGTAACACTTATATTTAACAATTATTCGCCATAGGCGAGGTGAATATCGTCGAATAATCCCTGAGACGAAGTCGAGGGGATTATTCAACAATATTTACTGAACCTGACGCGAATAATTGTTTTGGTATAATTTCAGAGCTGAACAACAGAGAAATTTCTAAAATCAAAACATTTTAGTAACATAATTTTATTAACATTTTATTTTAACGTTTTATATAAACCCCGGTGAGCAGTTTATATAGCATTATATAAGGAACCGCTCGATCAATCAGATTGCTGGAAACTCTTTGCTCAGCTCTGAAACTATACTAAAATTATATATGTTTTAACAGTAATTGGTTTTTAATAAAATCAGATCCAAGAAATGGCTTTTGGTACATTGTTCCCCTTGTTTTAGTTTTTGTGGAGGTAAAAAACTAGAGAACCTGGAAAAAAATTTGGGCGGAAGTGCCCTCACAGGCTGCCATTGCTGGTTGCCTCTCCACAATGATAGCTTGACAAATATAATTACAGTAACTATGTTTAACTATGCATGATCTGAGCTACTTATCAAATGGTAAATGACTAAGGGCCTGTCTATACATTGCATTTAATGACACTAATTTAATTGATGAATTTTTTTCGTCTGGGAGACAAAATTAAATGTCAGTTCATTTTAGATGTCAAATATAATTTTCATGTCGTTTTGTGCCTGCATTGACTTTGATCGGCGGAGAACTTCCAAAAACAACATGGCAGCGTTCAAAGAGGCATTAATGCTGAATATTGCTCTGGCGAGGTGAAGGCGTAGGAATTTGTCTTTTCGGATGTCAAGGCTTGTAGCAGTAAGAGGAAAATTCAGGCTTCGACTGCTGGCTTTATTATGTTTATTACTACAGCAAGTGGGAGAAGAAGAGGGACGTTTTGATAGTGAAGATGTTTCATCTACCAAATTTACCAAGATAGATGCTTCTGGGCTCTGAGGAGTGGATGTTCGTGTATAAATTCTTGCACAAGGAAGACAGTACCCAACTCGCTTCCCCGGCTCCCATCCCTACGCGTCTTCACCCAGTTCAGCCACAGAACATTCCAAACGAACACATACAGGTCTGTCACATGAAATACAACTGTATTTCGTTTTAGCCTCGCATGACCAACAAGTCTGACTCAACGTTTTTCGGAAAAGGACTCCAGCAGTCGCCATGTTTTCTATTTTGGCGGGAACTCTTCTCCCCTTACCCATGCGATGCAGGTGTAAACTGTGAGCGTGGGCTCAAAATTAACAGGTGGAATAATTTATGTCGTCGAAAAATAATGTATGCATTTACTTCGATGCGACTGAAAAGCGACGTATAAAACTGACACGCATTTCAGACGTTTTATCCGGCTGGGGCACACGGATAAAACGTCTAGGACGAGTTTAACTTGCCAGACGAATTTAATTCGTTTTAGACGTCGCTTTACTGTCGAAGAAAATTGCTGGAATTAAATTCGTGTGAATTAAATTTGTCTCTAATGCGACGTATAAACCAGGCCTAAATTTATATAAATTTATTTATAAGATCTAAAATTAATTTGCAATGTAAAAGAAAAAATGGACTCTTAATGTTACTCCTTATTGAGACAGAACGCTTGATGGGTCATAAAGTTTAAAGTTAGCCTTGGCGACTCACCAAAACTGCTTTGTCTTGTTCTGTAATCTTTGGTTTTACAGGCTCAGGCTCTTTCTTCTTGCTAAATAGAGATCCCATCTTATTCCAGTAAAGATAATTTCTTATCTCGCTAAGAATACGATTTAAGCTGTATTAGGTAGATTTTACCCCAACAGAACTACAACATTTCGAATGTTTTCGTTGCGATACAGGAAGTAAGGGGTTACAAGACCACCGCCATCTTGTTTTTATTGTTCTGCGAAACAGCCGAAGGAGCATGAAAACGAGGCACATTTTTGGTATTCAAGATGGCGCTTGGCGCTCTGTAGGACTCACGCGTGAATTTCTTGTTTTTGTGGAGACGTTTTCATGGCAGAATGAAATGGTATGAGCGCCAGACCACAGGGCCGTGGTAGGCAAATACGCAGAGATCGTTCTCAGCGAATTAGAGGCCGAGACCACTCTGCAGACTCAGTGAGTAGCACGACTAGTACTCAAAGTGAAAGAGAAAGAGATCGAGAACGAGAACAACGGAATGGGCGGAACTCCAGACGTCGTCCTGAAAAGAAAGATGAGCGAGGCAGACGCAGAAATGAGGAAGGCAGAAGAGATATACCTGATAGAGAAGGCAGCAAAGCCACTGATAAGGATAAAGGAAAGCCACGTTCTGAGTCTGAGAAACAACCACCTCGCGGAAGAGGTGAACCTAACCGAGATCCTCCAAGGGAGCTAAACCGAGACAGTTTTGGTTCTAAAGGCTCTACCAATGGTTAGTGTAACGATCAAACATATTTCGACTTCCTATCCTGAATATTGTGTTGATCAGAAAGTTTTTGTGTTGATAATTTGCATATTCGTGAGAGACAAATGTAAATTCTAATTGTAATCAGTGCCGTTGTCTGAAGTTTGAAAGCCGCAGTTTTAGACCGCAGACAGCAATCGTTATTGTTTTGCTGACGCGATATAATTTTAAGTACTATCTGCTTAACTTTTGATAAATAGTACTTTAGACCGATAAACTGTTGATAGTCAAAAAGAGGAAATGATGATTTCGCTACTTTCGGCTTCCGGCTTTACTTGTTTGTAACGTCTCTTTCTATTAAAATGCGTTTTTAGATCGTGACGGTGGTATCTTGTCTACCTTTTCTTTTTTAATTTTTTTTCTAGGTATTCGTTGGTTTGACAAGGTTGTTTGATATTATTTCTTGTATCAATTACTTGTTTGGTTTTTTTTCCTTGTAAATTATTATCTTAAGTAGGTTTGCAATTTGTTTAATTAACCATGGTCAATTAGCAGACTTAAATATCATTCGAGTTGATAGCAAGTAGGAAATGAATGAGGTAGCTAACTTGGACAGTTCTAAAGTTGCTCTCCCAGTTGGTGTGCCTGAGCAAATCTCCTGAAGATAAAAGGGTTAAAAGCATAGAAACAAACAAGCTAACTTAATTAACTTTTTTATAGGCTCAGGCACATAGATATTTATCGGATGAACCCTCTCCCAACTCTGGTTATCTTAAAGAATTAAAAAAGAAAATCTCAGTTCTAAAGAGCTGGTGCAGGTATTGGGTTATGTCTCTGACACTTGCAGTATTACAAGTTTTGGGACTGTACCTGTATTGTGTTGTGTTCTTAGGCATGTCATCTTACTCTTAGAGTGCTTGTCTCTATAAAGGAGTACAAATGCATACCAGCAAACTATCAGGGGAACTTGGCCAAATGCTGGAGGTAACCTGTAGTGGAATACCATCCCACCTAAGGGGGATCAGCAATTCTTGTAGTAGCTTCATACTATGGGAACTGAGTTAAGATTGAATTTTAGGGGTTACAAGGCTTGTAGAAAAACTAACTCTGTACTTAAGGTATGGTTGTTTCACTTTCAGAACGAAATAATATGTTTGGTGATGATTCTCGTTTGTCACATCTTGTAAAGAGGATTGGTAAAGAGTCTGAACGGGACAGACGTCTAACTGCGGCTCAGCAGTTTGAGGAATTCCTAAATATTCCCGATAATTCTCAGGTACTGCAAGATAAAAACATATGATGATTAAATTTGCTATGGCTTTATGAGTATTGATCGAACACCTTAGGCAGAAAACAAAAATTTTGAGTTTCAAATGATGCCTTAAACTTGTCAAGAAATGTTGTTATGTTGTATGGAATAGCTGAGTCAGTTGTTGATCACCTTGCATTTTTTATCTGAAGGCACCTTTCATTTCCAGGTGGTAGACAAGCATGCAGAGAATCTATTTATAGTCTTAGAAGATGTACTTTTTGAAAGGTAACTGAACTCTTCTTCAAGAGGCAGACATGTCTTGTTAACCTTGTGGGCCTACTTTTCTTGCTTCATGCAAACCTGAAAAAAGTGTCATTTAGAAATGTTCATGCTTTTAAACATATGGACTCTAGAAGGATCTACCTGATCAATCTGTTTCCTGCAAAGCATTTTACTTTCAGTGGGCCAACTGGTGGATAGCTTGGATGTAAAGATGTTTTACTGCTGTGCCAGTGTGTCAAATTTGTGGAAATACTCATTTAACTAGCAGGATAGTTTGTTTCAAATGTTATGACCACTTTTTGTCATGTGAAATCTGGAGATGTAGAATTGGAAATGAGAGTGATAATCATTACTCAAAAAAAGTTGTTGGGTAAATAGTTTTATTTTAAAATAATTTCAGAGGGCAACCAGAGCTGAAGGAAAAAATAGCAACATGTGTTGGTATAATTGGTGGAATTTTAGGCAATGAAGCTGGAAGGTAAGTTAACTGATTCTTTGCATTTAAGCCAGACACATCTAGTAATCTAACAAGCACACTTATGTCTCAGTGCTTTTTCCATTGAGAGCCCTATTGGTAACTGAGTGGGAATTGAATGGAGAAACCAAATCTCGCTTCCAACCAGTTATCTCCCCTTAAAAGTTTTTAAGGGGAGATAACTGGTTGGAAGCGAGAAGAGTTCTAAGTGTCATTTTAATAAGTGTTGTTAGTTTATAAAATTAATGTTTTACTTCAAAGGTTTTTTCAGTGGATATTTGCCAAGCTTGAGTCATCTGCATCTGATGAAGTAAAGATCTTGCTGCTCACAGCACTCTACAAGGTAGTTTTTACAATTTATCTGGTTTCTATTGTTGTTATCTGGTTTCTATTATGTATGTTTCTATTTTTAATAAGTATTTTCCTAATTTAGACTCTTTGTTTAGTTACTGATATTAGCAAACTTTCACACCTTTCCCTGATAGAAATCGCAATGAATCTTTTTTTTATACAGGATTGATATGTTGTTTACTGTTTTTGCATCACAAATGTGGTCAATAAAAGTGAAAAAATGATCTTTTCAAACTAGGTTGATTTGTATTTTACTTTGTTTAATAATTTTGTCAACTCATTAATTGTTTAAATTACTAATTATTTCACTTTTTTTCAAAAGGCAATCCAAGTAGACACGAAGAACAAATACTTTAGAGATTTTATGACGGTAAGAAGCAGCAGTCAACTTCCCTCTCTTTATTTCTCATTTTGGGAAAAAAAAAAAGGAAAAAAAATTAACTGCAAATTGTGTCTAACAACAAAATTATTTATTATTTACAGAATGTCATGAGTAGCCTGCAGAATATCTTGGAAAATGTAGACACATCAGGTATTATGAAAAACTATTGATAATTAATAAATTTTAAATGGTTATTGGTTTATGATAAGAGATATTTCATTGTTCATACTTTTGATTTTATTAATACTTGGATATACTGGGAATGGTTTACGTTTGATGTTGTTGATTGCCAGACTTACTGCGTGCAGCTTTGAATGTGATGATGCCAATAGCCATAGACTATCCACATGCCTTTGCTGGTCATTTCAGGGTAAGCTTTATTTGATTCAGGATAGGTAGGATAAACTCTGAATTGTAATGATCATAACATATCAAGTCATACAGGGGCTGACAAGGGCAATTAATGAGTCTTGTTCTTAACTACTCCGTTCTTATTAACCTGATGCATTCAACCCATTTTTTTCTGGCTCAGACTCAAATATGCTGAACATGGACAATCAATACCACCCTAATTTATAAAAAAAAATCTTATTTCTTATCACTTTGGTTTTCCATTCTGGTTTATAGGATACTGTTGACATCCTTGTTGGATGGCATATTGACACGTCTCAGCAGACATCTCTAACCAGTTACACTTCAGGTTTGGTAGCATTAGTATATTTTTCTAATATTAGTGAAGTTTAGCAAGAATTTAAGGCTAGTTTGGCCAAGTTGCTGAGACCTTAGCTTGGCTTTTTTCTGTTTTTGTCTCGGCTACAATGTGCTTCACGCACAAGTTGGAGTAGGATTTTAAGCTGATACAGATAGTCAAACTATATTTTCATCATGATATATATATAACTAATTTAAATCATGTTTTATTTCTGTGCTGTTCATAAGTACAATTTCTTAAAATGTCTTTGTAGTTCTTGCTGAGTCAGAGGTCTTGACCATAATTATATTGCCATGAAACAAATTTTGTCACAGTTCATTATAGAAGTAAGAAGTAACCTTTGTTTGAACTTTACATTGAAAAAAGGGAATTTCTTCATCTCTCCTCCAACAATTCATTTTACTTTGTGCTCCTATCTGAGATGACTGTCTGTTTTTCTGTATCACAGAATGTCTGGTAAAGCTCCATGACTACTGGGCATCAGACATAGCCTTTTCTCTAACACTGCTCAGCCAGTTTTTGGAAGATATGGAAGCTTATGCAGAAGTAAGGAAAACAAACTAAATGTTATACAGTTTCTTTTGACAGCATTTTAGTTTCAATTTTCTTTTTGAAACAGTAAGTGATAGTTGTGACTAATTGTAATAACTTCCCTTTAACAATGGCATGGCAAATACTAAGCTGCCTTTAAGATTTGGTTTGGTAAAATTGTAGAATTTAAAAATAACTGAACTCTATTTGAGATACCACTTCTATCAGACTGCTTGTGAGAAGCCCCATAGATGCTCACATAAAGGTTTACCTTTGTAATTTATTCAAAGTCAGAGTAATTTATTTAAAATCTGTGATGGCTTTTACTTGATTTTTGGTTACTGTGCTTATCAACAGGAACTAGGCATGTTGTCTAACCAAGTGGTCTCTTCAGAAGAAATCCCATCGCCATATGTGTCTCTCCCAAGGCTGACAGCACTAGTGAGGTGAACTAGCAATTCCATCGTGACTGTCATACAAGGAGTATGAAATGATGAATGTCTAGAATTGGCTGGACCAGAGATCCTTAATTCCTCTATCCAGCTGCCAAACACTCTGATGTCAAATAGTTGAGAGAATTTGTTTTTAAAGCGAGATAATAGCTAACAGTGATGGGTTGGTCTATTCCAGTCAAAAAGCTTGTTTGAAAGACTACTGATATCACAGGGATAAGTTACATGTTGACCTTGTGTGAAAGGTGAAGGCTGATTTAACAACAGGATAGTTTTGGTGACAGTTAAGAGGTATATCAACTTTTTAATGGGTGTCTGTATTTGGTGGAAGAAAACAACTTTTACCATGAAGAGGACTTAAAAATCTTGGAAACAAAATCTTGGTACAGTGGTAATGGCCTTAGAGGGGTTTTTAAGCATAGTGGATCACTGGTAACCAGCTGTACTTCTTGCAGTGTCATTGTTAAGCTCTCTAGTTACTTAAATTATTTATTTTATTTGATAGTTTTCTTATTTCACTCCTGTTTTCAGAGTGTTTACAACAGTTGTAAATGGCATAGGACCAAGCTTTTCACCAAATCGAAGTCCATCTATTACACCTCC